TAATTATATATAAATTAGGTACTGTATATATAATTATATATTAACTTAATTTATTGTAACTTTATTATAATTATGTATATACTTTCCGCCGTCTAGGGCTACGATACAGAGAGTTTAGGCAGGTAAGTTGAGTTTACTATCGTCTGTACAGTGTGTAAATTAGGTACCGTAAGTCTAATACAGTACTGTAATTTTATACATTTCTTGTGAAAGAAACATTTCTTATTCAACGGCCATTAAAATTATTTATATTGATGATGTCTCCAAAATTCAACGATTTTTTCGCAGAAAAATCATTTATCAGAAAACGCGGTCGCCGTTTGGTGCGCTGCTCCGCGACGAAAACAAGCGTAAGCAACGGCGTAGTCGAACGGTGCACACTCGGTAAGTAATCCTACAATTTTTTGTTTATAGCATAGTTTATACGGATTATTCCGAAAAAATTCACGTGTTTTGGAAATATTGAATCGAATTAGTCTAGAATCGGTTAATTTTATGGAAGAAAACCTTTCAAACAGCCGTAGTCCGTAAACTTCACACGTGTCGGGCTGTAATTGGCTCATGTATTTAAGGATTCCTACAACATGAAATTTGTATAACGTGGAACGTATCTACGCGTTATAGGGGGGTCTACTTGTACGTATTTATTAAAGTCTGAATAATTGAATATATCACAATTTTAAGTTAGATTACTCCCTCCGCTGTCATATATAACAGAGAAAAAGTATGGCGATCGGTCAATTAATGATCCGAGATTTTTACATATTTGAACTCAGGGGATTTTTAAATGTCGACAAATGCAAAAAAATTCGGAAGTTTTAATTGTACGTGTGGGTGTTAATTTGCATGTGTATGGAGGTGCATGATTTTGTTCACCATTTTTGAAGATTAATAACTCCTGCGTTTTTGTCAAAAATTTCTGAACTTGTGCATGGATGTTTATGTAATATGAATTGATGCTATTAAATGTTGGTTGTTAAAAATCGACGAAATGGGGGGGAACGGATGGTGTCATATCTCGAGAACAGTGGTCTTAAGGACGATTTTAATCGTTATTAGCATTCACAAGTTATTATAAAACACACGCAATTATAAAATCAAAATCAAGTTTTTTGATTTTATAATAATTAAAAATATATAAATTTGATTATATTGTAAAAGATATTGACGTCATTCTTATCGTCCTTTTTATCATGTATCAGTTTTTACTATTTGTATTTTTTGCAATATATTTATAAGTATATTTTGTCCTGGATTTTTTTTATAAATTCATTTTTAATAATATATGATAACAGATGGTGCTACGAATTCTTGCCGGAAAAGTTATGCAACTCGTTGCTGGCTTGTTTTAAAATTTGTTTATCATATTTTGCAGGCGATTATTATTTCATGTTGGATTACGACAATTTGCCTGGTGGGATTGATACACTTCTGTTTGCACAATTACAGAAATGACACTTCTCCGAATGAATCAATAATATTTGCACATTAGTTTCTTTCTCCAATTGCAAGCACAGCGGTAACAGTTTTGTGAGCCGCCGGGGAGGTTGGGAAGTCCTCTCTTTCCGGTGACCTACTTTCTTGTCAGGGATGGCGTTTCGTTCAGTTACGCGTTACGCGAGTGGAGGAGAGTCGGAGGGGTCGACGATAAGACGTTGGCTAAGTCGAGTAACAACACCATTTAAAAAAACAAAACGAGTTTATTAAACTACCTAACTAAATAAAATCTTACAAAACTCCTTAGACTTCGCGGATGAGAGAGAGAGTTCACAATAATATATCATACCTCTGAGATAATATCGGAGGGATACTTCTGACTTAAAGGTTGCGAAAAGCAGTGCTCGGTGTGGCACAAGGTCTTCCAATTAAGGGCGTAGAGCAAGTATGAAGGGAAGATATGGCCCGTCTTCGTCGTTGTCCGTTCGATTGGCGACTCCCCCGAGAGGGGCAGGATGATGGCTTTTATACATTTTGTGGTGGGAAAATTCGTCAGGTGACCAATTGTTTTAGAAGGTGTGGGGTTAAAGTTGGTGTTAGAATGACAACGATATGAAGAATTTCGCCGATAACTGTGCACTATACACGGTTTGATCGTGAGAATGTTTATAGTTAACTAGAAAGAGTTATAAATTTCTCATACGCTTTATATTAAAGTTCTGTAGGGTCAAATTCCTTTGATTAAAGTAATTTTTTATCTAAATTTATTAAAAATTTAAAGGATTACTTTCTGTTATGAAATTATATGAACTTCGAATTTTACAGTTTGGATATGTGTAGCATGCTTATCGGGAAATGGAGATATGTTAACAGAGTTGATAACATAGATTCTACATATGACTATAATTTAATTAATGTTGTAGGTATAGCGAACAAATTCTTAGAGAGGTTGCGGCCGAACGCGAAACGCGATAACGTACACGTTTTCGCATTGAAAACTTCTTTTAACGCGAAAACGTATACGTTGGACCTTCAGCGCCGCTTTCCTGTAAGCCTAGAAGTCTGACAATGGTGTTTGGAATGTCGAGAATGGTTCCACTGACTATCCAAACACCATTGTCAAACTGCTGGGCTTACAGGAAAGCAGCGCTGAACGTCCGACGTACACGTTTTCGCGTTTAAAACTTCGGCCTCAACTTCGCTATTATTAACCATAAAATTTTTATTAAAATATTTTCTTAACCTTGTAAGAATGATATAGCTTATATTATATCAGTGACGCATCTTTCTCTTGAAACATAATTAAACTGATGATTAATTATGTCAAGTAGATGATTAATTATATCAAGTAGAAATATCAAGGTTGAATGAACCAAACCCTTCAGAATAAACCTTTACACTTTAATCCGCTACATAGTGTATATCATCTGACAGCTATGTAATTTGATGAGTTGTAATATACAAGCAGTGTAGAGAACATTCGAAATTCGATATTTTAGTATAGAATGGAGAAGAAAGAGAAAATTAACATATACGATTCTGCTGGTGTTTTCTCTCGTATGTTTTTGTGGTATGTAATATTAATTCAATTTATTAATAATGAGAATAATTATATATACTACTGTAAATGTTTCTTAATTTTAAAAAAATATTCATATATTTTATGCAATATATAACTACTAAAACCTTTTGCGACTTTAGTTCAGAGCCCAGGGTGCAATTTTTTTTTCAAAAAACAAATAATTTTTACTTTCTCAGTTGTTATCTTTAAGTTAGGAGAAGTATGGCGATCCTGCAAAATATGACTCCATTTTTTACATTTTTGGTCATCTTAAAACTTCGAGAAACGCAAAAAATTAAGAAAAAAATATTCGGCAGTAATTTCTATATGTATTGGTGTTAGTGTATGTGACGCTTGGCTTTGTTCACACTCTTTGCAGCTTAATAAATCCTGTGCTTTATGTCGAAAATTTCTAAAATTTTGTACGCAGGTTATTAGGGGAATTGATGGTGTTAAATTTTGGTGACTAAAAATCGAGGGGTGAGGAGATAATGGGGTCGTGTATCTCCAGTAGGGTCGAACATAGAAATTGTTATTAGCATTTACAATTTTATTTTATAAAACTCATCACGACTCACAACATTAAGTTTTTTGACATTTTATAATAGTTAAAAATATAAACTTTAAAAATGATGGAATTACTAAAATTTTAAATGTTGCCGGAAAAGTTAAGCAAATCGTTGCTTGTTTGTTTTATCAATATTTCATTTCTTTAATTGTCACATAATAGACATCCATCGCGAACCCTTCTTATGTGCACTATAATATCAAAATTATATATTAATAAGGAAAGAATTAAGTTTGAATTTATTTTTTGTTTCAAACACATTACATCCTGTTTAATTCGATATGGGATTAGTTTACTTTTATTCCAATATATTATGTAAACTATAATTATCAAGTCAATTTTAATATTTGTTTAATGTTATATATCAGGGTTGGGCAAGCAAGAGTTCAGTGGGATCCGAAATGTAGGTTTTGCAAACTGCATAGGGTGCCGCAGTTCTGTACCGCGATTTTATTATATAATATTAATATAATATAAAACAAATATTGAATTTTTTTAAGAAACATATTTTCACAAAATTGTGGAAATAAAATTGTAAAAATAATAATAATAAGCAGAAACTAACACTTTCAGCAAGAGCTTCATGTAACTAAAAAGGCCGCATGCGGCTCTTTTTTCAGCTGCATTTGCCAATGTCTGTTATATATTTTAAGTCTCTTTCGTTATATGTATGGCCGTATATTAATGCATATACAATAAAAATTTCAATACGAAGACCACGTTAGGAGGCACTGTTATGCCCTAGAAAGTTTATTTATTACTTGAATTAGCTGCAATTTTTTTCTGACAATGATTAAGCTATCACGAAGGGTTTAGATATAGCATGCTATCCATATATAGCTGAAATTAAGGTACATTACAAATTCAATTTTATTGTGTACATTTGTTATTTAAACTTTGACGGTTATGTCATCAGTACATAAATATTAATAGAGGATTTTAGAAAAGACAAAAATTAAATTTTCCAGAATTAATATTTAACATCGACATATTTATTCCATTTTTAGTACAAAAAAAAATGACTGGCAAACTTGAAAAATACGATTTAATAGGGAAAAGTATAAAGACATTTATTGTGTCTTTTAAAATATTCTATATACTGTATTTAACAAATATTTTATAAACGCTCGAAAACTTCATATAATTTGTTGTGAGAAAGATTTATTTTTTGATAATAGTAGTTGTAACATTCAAATAAAATTTATACACGCAACGTGTATAAATTTTATTTAAATTTTTTAATCCTTTTTAATTTTGTAATTAATTTCTTCTGTTTCAAGGATGTTTTAGTGTTAGAATATTTATCTGATAAATTTTCTAAAATAACATGCATATATTTCAAAACATTCAATTACGATTTAGATTATCGAGTGAATTATTTTTGGCTGAGATTAATTTAAAGTTAGGGGAGACCGGGGCAACTTCGGCATGCAGGGCAAGATTGTCAAGCGCTTTTTTTTAAAAACTAATTAAAAGAAGACTTTGGTTATAGGTTAGGCAGTTGAGTTTTATTGGTGGCTTGTTGAGTGTAGTGTTTTTATTGTTCTCCAACAAGCGTAGTTGAATTATCAAGCAAATTTTCATTTTCGTTCAATTCCATATAATATTTTTTTTCCATTTATATTGAATTGGCAGGTTTTGTTATAATTCCATGATAACGAAAGTTACTTTTCCTGTTAGAAGGATGTAACTTCAACTTATTCACGTGGCCAGATCGTGGCTTGGCATTCTGTTCTCAGGGTTGTACTTAATGTTTCGAAATCATGACTAGCGGGGTAAGATCGGCAACATAAAGCCACATTAGAAGCAAAGGATAAAAATCAAACAGATGATAAATGAAAACATGTTTGCATTTGTTATTCATGTATATATGTCTTTGAACTTGCATTTCGTTGTAATAATATTAAATGGGTGTTGGATTTGTATTTCTTTGTTTTAATAGTGAATTCCAACTTATACATTGTTAATAACATAATTTTATATACGTGCCTATCTTGCCCCATTACTGTTGCCCCTATACCAGGGGCAACTTTAATAAAAATAATTAAAATAATTACAACTTTACAAAAAGAGAGAAGTTGCCGATCTTGCCCCTATACCCGGGGCAACTTCGTCAATTTCTCTCTTCTTGTAAAGTTGTAATTATTTTAATTATTTTTATTTCCAAACTGATTTTAACCAGTTCTATAGTAAGGTAACATTCCAATAGACAATATGCAAAGCTTTTTTTTCAGTTTACAGCAGTATTTATTACACAAAATTTAAGTAAAGCTTAACATGCCGATCTTGCCCCGGTCTCCCCTATATTTAGAGGAGAGCAGATCAAATTCATTTAATAAATAATTTATTTGTATTATTTATGTTTTGTCTAGTAATTGTATAGTACATCTGTACATACTCTATCTATCTATCTTCTACATATATATTATAGAATGGAATTAAATTTAAGGTGGAAACTTCTGACTAATCTACCTCTTAGAAAGCATGATAACTTGAATAAAAATGATCTGTTTGCCCTTTTCAAATGCCCATTGTAGTATGTCCATGTTTTAGAAACGATTACCAAAATATCAAGAAGGGAATGGCTGTATAAAATATTTATAAGTAATTAAAAGTTTCATATATTATACAGTTTATTCGACAAGAAACAGCTCTTATCTAATGATAAAAACACTGACGTTTTTTTTTATACAAACAACAATTTTACAACTACAGTTCGACCTATTTCTGCAATTTGGATATTATAAATTTATTTCTAATAACTAATGTTTCTTCCCAGTTAATTTACACACTTGAATATAGTTGATGATGAAAAATTCGAAATTAATTATCTTTTGAAAATGTCCGCATTCAATATAGTAAAACATTTACAGAATTCAGTCAAAATAATGGGAATAGTATTTTATTTGCAACAAAGATTGCCATATTCAGTTTCGAATCGAAGTAATTAATTACACTCCAAAATAATTATAAAAACCGATGGAGTCAGAAATTTTCCTTTTGTTTCCTTCTTACATAAATGTAAAATACGAAAAAGTTATATTTTTCTCTCTCTTCTGACTTTTTGGATAATATATAACTTCAATTTTTAAAACGTGAAGCCAGTAATGATATAAAATTTTTTCAAAAAAAGTTAAAATAAAGGTATAAAAAAAAAAGAAAAAATTTGCAGAGAAAAACTTTTATTTACATTACGAACAAGCTTCCCAAATGCATTTCGCCAAAGGTCTCTTTAGTGGACTTACAGTACACAGTACAGAGGTAAGAACGTAAATTGTGTTCTGACCTCTGTACTGTGTAAAAATTATCCTTGCATTTTATATTTTATTACGACCAAATTACAGTTTCAACACCAAAACTGTTTGCATTTACAGTATTGCAAAACTTATATATTGATAAGGAATTTATATGTACCGGTACTTGAGGAATCGAAAACACTTATCTTTGAAATTATTTGTTGAATCATGCACGTTACACGCTGTTCTTCTCGGTATGAGATTATTCTGTTTTTTAATTCCCCGTATATCATTAAAAATATAATTAATAGTAAATTTAAATTTTTATGTAATGTTATATATTTCAAGTAAAATTTCATTATTCATAAGTTTATATTATTAACATTTATATTATTTACAAAAACTGTAAAGTAAACTAGCAATTATTTATTGTGATATTGTCACAATGCTGAATTGCAATTTTTTATCATATATTTATTTTAAGTTTAAATATAGCTTATAGTTAGACCCCGCTTAACGCGGAGGATGCGTTCCTAGACGACAAAGCACTACACGAAACAGCGTTAAACGAGGTCATCTATACTAATACTGTATTATAAAGAGGTAATGTTTGTATGTAAGTTTGTATGCAGCAGGTAATCTCCGAAACTACTCATCCGATTTCAAAAATTCTTTCACCAATTTTTAGAATGGAACTTCAGGGTGTACATAGGCTGTATATTATTCCGTTAAACATTCATATAAATTAAAAGATATAATCTAGGTTAAGGCTTTTATGTCCAACAGATGGCGGGCGCTACGAGTACGACGCCCTAAGTTTGCTTTTCTGTGAGGCATTATGCTTTTCTGTGAAAATGAACTAAAGCAGATTATCTTCTATCTATTTACATAAATAAAAATGTAATGTTCGTTTGTTCCTACCGATTCCTTTGAAATTTTGCACAACGCTGCATTCGAATACGCACGTGTTTTTATATAATATACATGTCGAAATTCAACACCACTAAAGGGCAGTGGCGTACCCTGGGTTTCAGCCGCCCGGGGCGGAGGAAAATTTCGCCTCCTTATTTAGGTATTTCAATTTAAAAGACTAAAATTCAGTTTTGTCGCAAAAAAAAGGTCAACAGGTTTCGCAGGAATTCCTTGGGTGAAAAAGCTACTACCTCACCCGGCGAGCCGATTCCCGGACTGTCCGGACGATAGCA